ACATGTCATTGATTGCTATCTTCCTCCCCCAAAATTTGAACTGAAGAGATGTTTATATGTGGGAATAGTCTGCATAAGACCACTCTCTCCCTAGATCACTTCTAAACTTGACATTATTTCCTCAATTATCTTTTGGATGATCTTTGACTTAGAGAACGCTGATATCTGTAACTTAGAAGCAAGTCCTCAAATTAATTCTGCGTAATTCACATTTTCCTGAATTCTAAAAATGTCTCTTTTTCTTTTGTCTTATACAATTTTTAATATCGGGATGTGCTGTCCTATTAAAAGATATCAAAAGAAACTTGTTTCTAGCCAGGTAGAAGAGCGAGTTATTTTATGGATGTGATCATGAGTCTATGTGGGAACTTAGCCAAACTCTCAAATAAACAAAATGCTGAGGAGGCCCCCAGCAAGTCTTCTGACCCCTCCAACTATGATGCTGTCAGGTGTTAAAGAGGACAAGACGATGAGCTCAGGGTTTGGGAAACAGTCTCCATGATGCTACTCTTAACTGCTATAGCCCTAAATACTTACAAAAAACATTTGATTAAGAAACTGAGCAATACAGTGTTAGCTAACTATAGTGCTAGCAAGAACCATTATATATATTTAAAAAGTATGTATATTTAATGTGGTTTTTCTTCTTTCCTTGAAAAGCTGACATGGACTCTGGTGAACCATATAATTATCGGTATCCTACAATGAAGAATATATACAAACTTTCTTCACATTAACGCCTTCTGAAAAAGAGCATTATGAATTTTTACTTTCAATTCAAATAACTCTGCTTTATCCACATGCAATCTTAGACTATGGGCTAGTTTCCCTCATACATGAGTTCTTAAAAAAAACAGTAAGAGAAAATCCCATCAATTGGAAAAATAGGCAAAGAATAATGGTCCAGACAGTTCAGAAAAAGAAGGAAAAATACCTTTAAATATGAAGAGATGTTCACCCAACACATAATGAGAAATTAAAACAAATGGGAGGCCATTTCCATCTTAATGCTAAGATGAAGAACTTTAAGAACACAATGCTGGCAAGATATCAGGAAATAGGTACCCTTCCAACATTCCCACTAAGACATACAATTTGTTGTTCAACCTCTAAGAGGAGCAGTACCTATCAAAATTACAGAAACACGCAGCTTTTTCACTCCTTAGACTTTTTCCCTAGGTTTATTGCTGGGTATGTACAGCATCTGAAGATTGGTGACTGGCTAGATAAGATACACACACAAGGGACAAACTTCCAAGATGGTGAAACAGTATTTTTGTCAGTGGGGAAAAAAAGAAAAAGAAATACACATGCAGATTCTATAGCATCTTACTACGTTGATGGACGGTGACTGTAATGGGGTATGTGGGGGGGACTTGGTGATGGGGGGAGTCTAGTAAACATAATGTTCCTCATGTAATTGTAGATTAATGAGATCAAAAAAAAGAATGAGATAAAAAAAAAGAGAAATACACATGCAAATATCTGCTAAATATGTATACACTATTTCACGAAAGGTAAGAAACTTAAAATATTTGGTTACTTTTAAAAAGTTGAGAGTGGCAGAGGGTAGAATGAGGAGACTTCATCAGGTAACATTTACTATCTTTGGAATAGGAAACTCTGTACCTATATTATTTTAAAAGATTAAAAAATAAGTATTTAAGGATAAGGAAACTAACCTCATCTCAAACCGAAATATTAATGGTTAAGAAAAAAAATCTGCAAGATTAAGGATAAAGAAACCACAGTAAATAAGGATGAATTAGAAGGTTTTCAAAGTGAAGGAAAGGAAAGATAAATATGGGGGGAAAAAAGAAAATTCAAGAGCAAATTACTGTTTCAAACATGAACAGCACTAACCTGAAGAACACAGTAGCTCCCATTTTTCTTTTTAGAAAGTATTTTCAAAGCTTCATCTTCATATCCTGGGGCCACAATACCATCAGATACCTGTAAATACATTAAATACTGATTTTTATTTAATAAAATTAGAGAACACCTCTCAATCTAGACACAGTTATCTGCCTTAAATAATGCAGAAATGCTTTCTGATTTCTACTTCTAACAAATAAGCCAAATACTACACTTAGGAAAGATAAGCCTATTTGAATACAGCTTTCTATAGCTGACCTTTCCTCATTTGCTGTCTTGTCAAAGTTTTTGACTATTTGCGTAAGTTTTAACTGGTACATGTGAATGATTCCCTAAATACATGTACCATTGAAAGGTTCACAGATGGTATTTTACATTAGGAAGTGTTCTAGTCCCGGCTCTGCCAGTACCTGGCTAGGAGAGGGAAGGCAAGTCCCTCAACAACAAGACAAGGGATCTGATTAAACTGGAGATTTAACATCTGATACCTAAAGATACAAAAGTCAAGAGCCCATACTCCAAAGCCTTGTGCTATAACCTGTAATGTAACACGTCAGCTCCACTGTGGCTGGGGATGGTGGTGGTCATGGGAAGAATCCCTAAAAGCAACTAAATATTGTCAAGCCTCTTCAGCCTTCATTTCTACCTAATTGTTTTCCCTCCAAGGTATTTACGCTACCTTTTTTTCCCTTTCTTTTTGTCTCTTCACCCCCAAAGCTAACCCCATCTTTCTGGAATACTTGCTTGGTATTCAACTGAAGGGGTTGTTTTTTCAGAGTAGTTTCTAATTTTCCCCATTATACATCTCTTTCATTACAGACCTATGAAGGTTTACAGTGAGGTTCATTATTACATCATACAAAATGGCATCTTCTGCTCTTTGGAAATAGTAACTGACAATAGGGTTAACAACTAGTAGAGAATTTATAAGAATTAAGCATATAAATTGAAACTTCACTGTAATAGCCAAATATCTATTTGAAACATGAATTCATTAAACCTAAAAATTAGCACAAAGTCAAGGATTTACATTCCACATAAAATATGAACATTCGAAATGATAAACTTAAGTAATTTACAAATGGTTTAACTATAGATTATGGTTTTAATGAACACTATGAACAAATAAAGCTTTTCTCAGTTATGCATCAATCAAAACACATGAATGTCCACTAACCTCTCTGGAGAGAATTTTGGCAGTAGGAACATCACAAACATCAGATAATGCAACAAAGTCACCAAATGAAGACATTCGATCAGCCCCTACAAATACAAATTAAAAAACAATGTATGTTATCATAAATAATCCTTCGCAGAAAAAGATGTTTAAAAAAACCCAATGCGATCATATAAAATTCATTTCTCTCAATCTAACTTGTTTATGTAAGATTTAAATAATAAACTGCTAAGTAATTTAACTGAAATATTATAAGTATTCTTTAATTTTACCTTCTAGAGCAGCACTTGGCCAACTTTTTTCTGGGATGGGCCTGAGAGCAAATATTTTTTAAGCTCGGCAGCCACATAGCCTCTATTTCAACTACTCAACTCTGAGGTTTTAGTTTGAAATCAGCCATCAACAACACATGAACAAAGGGACCAATCAAACTGTATTTATAAAAACAGGTGGCAGGCTGGATTTAGCTGGTGAGCCACAGTTGGCTAACTCCTGCTGTAGATGGGAAACTGTGATATCAAGTTTCTCAATAATCTTCCATAAATGTTACAATACCCACAGGTTATTAAACTCACAAATTAAATATTTCTGAAATATGTAACTCCAAATTCAGTGTAACACATAACCATACTTTAGTATTATATTAAGGAATAATACAAATGCATTCAACAGCCTAATCTGAAATTACATGCACTAAATTCCTATTGTTTCCATTTATTATGTTAAAATACTAATACACATTCTTACAAATTTATTCTAAAGCACTCATATAGTCATTCTGAAGCATTAACAAAAGACGAAGAAAATTTAAAATCTTATATATCTCAACTATATGTGAATTACAAAAGTTAAATCTTTTCTGATTAAAAAAATCTGACATCTTATAAGCAAAGGATATTACTATTTTATTCTGTTTAGGATAAAAAAATTTTTCTCTCAAAACAGAACAAAAAAGAACCAAAAAAACCGCTATTATTTTCTGACCTCTTGCTCTTGCATATGCAGTTGCTACGGGAGTAAGAGTTTTATACAGATCATAGACCATGCAGACTTTGGCCTCATCTTCACTAAGTGGAATTCCAACAGCAGCACCTAGTATAGAAAACCATAAAACAGACTCAAAACCTTAAGTTACTACTTGTCAATTCCTAAATCAAGACATGAGATGACATTTTTTTCTTAACATCTAGCCTCTACAGCATAATTTTTAATGCCTGTGCCAAATTAAACAAAAATCTGTTTGCTAGATCATTAAATATACAGTTGCAAGGGAGGATAAGGAAAGGGGAATTTCTCTGACCTATGAAAATAGCCACTGCATCTGCCAGCACTAGGTGTGTACATGAAGCTGGTTTACTTCATTACTCTCCCTGTCTTACTTGATACCACATAATGTTTATTTTTTCCTTACTCACAACATTTTAATATCGAATAAACATCAAGGAACTAACTGCGTTGACTGTCAGCAGATCTGGTGATAAAAATAAGTTGTGTAGTTGACTTCAATACAGAAGCAAAAAGCTCTCTCATACAAGATGGCTATAAAAAGTTACATGCAGTGTCACATGAACCACTTTTTTATGTCTACTCAGCAACATTCTCAACCATGTGGCAAAACATTTAGTCATGTTGCATTAAGCTGTTTCTTTTTTATTTTCTACATTGCTACTACAAGAAAACATTTTCCTAATCTTCCTATCGCACAATGGTACACAATCATGTATTTGTAAGTAATGTGTTATTTTATAATCAGATTTTATCATGTTATTGTATTAATACTGTTAACACTTAACAAAAGTGGTTTCAGACTTCAAAGAGTGTCTCTATTCACATTAGGACATGTCGATTCTTTTTAAAATTAAAAAGAAATGCATTTCGAACCATTCCAGAGCACTCCAGATCACAATGCTTTACCTGCTGGGCTGACATGCTTAAAAGAGGCAGCTGCTGGAATGCCTAAGGCTTCTTTGAGTTCCTTCACCAGCTGCCAGGCATTCAAAGCATCACATAAGTTTATAAATCCAGGCGCTCCATTTAGAACTACACATAAAAACATACACACATTAACAAGCAGGATCAATAAGGTCAGATATACATACATTTCTGAAAAAATAAGAACATATTTATCAGCAATGCACAAATTAGTTTTAAGTGAAGTATAAGAGGTAAACATATACACAGACATTAAAAGAAGTTGATGAGAAAGTGAACAAAGCACTGGAGCCCAAGTCCCCCTTACCAAAACAGAACCAAACCCTCTCCCGCACACACACTTGCACACACACACTACTGGAGGACCAAATCCAGCCAATCTAGAAATAAACCAATAGAGAATTCAGGAATGAGAGAAAGAATGACAAGATACGTGATCATAAGGGATCCATTTCAGTACAGAACTAAGACTAAACAATTATGGCAACTACAGAGATAGTGTAAAAGTTGTTATATACCTTGTCAATTTAAGAAATTAACAGTACAAACTAAAGCAATATCTTAGTGGGAGGAAAGAAGGGAGAATAAATAAGCGTTGAATTTTTCTTCTTTATACCAGACTCAGCAGGCTCTGCCTGAAGTCGAAATGCCATTAAAGACTACAACTTCAGAGTTTTTCATGGCTATTTTCTTTTCTTTTGTAATTAAGGTATCACTGATATGGAAGGTTATGAAGGTTTCACATGAGCAACACTAGTTTCAATATTCACCCATATTATCAAGTCCCCCCCACACCCCATTGCAGTCACTATCCATCAGTGTAGTAAGATTCTATAGTCATTACTTGTCCTCTCTGTGCTGTACTACCTTCCCTGTGACCTACCTATATCGTGTGTGCTAATTATAATGCATGTTTAGTTTTCTCACAGTGGCAGGAATATTTTTTAGGAGCTCCTATCTCTTGCAAATAAACATTTATAAGTTCACATCCAAAAATAAAGTGGACCATTAATTAAAAACAAATGTATAATTATATCTCCTTTGTGTTATTTTGTCTAGTATGTACTTTTGTAAGTGAAACTTTGCCAAGTATTTACTAAGTACCTACTACAATGTTAGGCACTTGGGGTATATTATCAGTGAACAAGGGTCTCTCCCACCCCTAACCTGCCATCACTGTTCTCATAGACCTTATGGGAGAGACACAGAAGAAACAAATAAGCAATGAGAAAATATTAGGTATTTATATAAATGAATAGAAAACAGGTCTACACAAAAACCTGCATTGGAATGTTCTTGGCAGTTTTATTCCTAACTGCCCAAAATTATTCCTTTTTGATGTCCTTCAATAGGTGAACAGATAAACCAATTATGGTACACCCACATACAAGTGAATATTAATAAGCAACAAGAATTGAGCTCTCGAGCCAACATCAGGACATAAAGGAACCTTATAAGCATACTGTCAAGTGAGAGAAGCCAATGTAAAAAGACTACATACAGTATGATTCCAACATTTTGATATTCTCGAAACACTATGGAGACAAGAAAAACATCAGTGGTTGAGGGGTGGAATGGAGGTAGTTTTTAGGTGGTGAAACCCTTCTGCATGATACTCTCAAGGCGGATATAGGACATTATGCATTTGTCAAAACCCACAAAACATACAACACAAAGAAGGAACCCGAAGAAAATTGTGGTCCTTAGTTAAAAATGATGAATCAATATTGATTCATCAATTTAACAAATGTACCATACTAATGCAAGACATTAACAGGGCAAATAGTGCGGTGCAGAGCAAAGGAAATTCTGAGAACTCTGTATTTCTGAGAAATTTTTTTGTAAATCTTAGAGTGTTCTAAAAAAAAGTCTGTTTAAAGACACTACTGAAAAAATTAGTTCCCTCAACCAGGTATGAATAGAAAAGCTTTTGAAAATGCAAAGTTCAGGAACTGAAATTACATGAAAGTATTTTTGCTTTACAATCTAAATAGGGAATATTAACTATAAGGAGGAAAAATCTGAGATAAAATAGGTCAATCTGTTAAGAAATTCCCAGAAGTGAAACTCCATGAAAAAAGGGAGGTTTCTAATTATTCATTCAATAAATATTTAGGGAGCATGCCAAGCAATATTCTACACTGGGTATACAGCAATGAACAAAGATAAGACTTCTGCTCTGAGGAGCCTGACATCTTAATGCGAGAAGACAATTAAAACCCAAATATATGCTACAAAATAGAGTGATGTGTTAGAAGTGTGATGGTCATCTACCTCGGTCTGAGTGGTCAGAAAAAAGTTTCTCTGAGGAGGTGGCATTTAAGGTGAGTCTGAATGACAAGAGGGACATGACATGAAGAAGATGGAGAAGAATCCTGGGTGGAAGGAACAGTAACTGTAAAGGCTGAAGTTGCTGGCGGGCCAGCTCCTGAGAAGGGAAGAAGGTGCTGGGAGCAGAGGGTAAGCGGAGAGCTGTCAAGGAAGTAGACCAGTCAGGTAACAGGCCTGCGGGGCAGGACAAAACACTTCGGCAGGAAGGAAAGCCAAAGAATGGTTTGAAGTAGGGTGTAACATCATCTGATTCATATTTGTAAAAGATTACTCTGGTGTGAAGAACAGGGAGACAGAGAAAGCAGAGAGACCAGTTAGATTATTGCCATCTGGGAGACTCTGGGATAACTGGGGGGTTTGGGCGGTGTTAGGAAACATTCAAAATATATCTGAGGTGGAGGAGCAACAGAGCTTGACCCACTGAATGTGAAGGGGAAGAAGTATTTGAAATTCTCTTCAAACCTCCTACACCACTGCCTGCTTCTCTCCTTCAACTGGTGACAGGCAGAAAGAGAAGCGGACAGGAAGGCCTGAATCTTTCCACCGCCAACCACGCCGTGTGCCCTGCACCTGCCTTCTCGGTACCGGAAGGAAGCTGTCCTTATTCTCCAAGGCCAGCTCCCCTACCAATGCTTGGGCCTTCAAGGCCCTCACACCCCCAAGTCTCTCCTCTGTCCCCAACACCCCTCTCCCTTCTTACAAGTAGGACATGCTCTAATTAGCTTACCTCAGGAGAAAACAAAAATTTAAAACCCTCTCAAAACTCTATAAGTCCTCATTTTTCTGTTCAAAGAATTATCTTTATCATTGTTATTTCCTAACCTCACTTCCTATTTCAGCCCATTTCAACTGGGCCCCAGATCCATCATTCTAAGGGAACTGCTTTTTGTAACATTCCCAAATCAAGCAGTTGTTTTTCTGTTCAAACTACAGGTTTTCCAACCTGGTTTCCCCCTGCCGGTTCTTCCACTGCTAACCCAAGGTTTGGTCTTGACCTCTTCTATGAAATCTAGAAATCTAGGCCATCCCATCGTGTCCTACTTCTTCAAAATCAGCTGTATGCTAAAGACACTCCAGTTTCTACCTCCAACTTGACCTCTCTCCAGAAGTGCAGAGTATCTCAGTATTTTTTGCTCACAAGTCAGCTTGGCATCTCAGACTTCAGGCAGCTGTAAGAGGCGTTATGCAATTTACTTTATCTTCTAAATATAAACCACATGATATACACACCCACAGCAAACCATGCCACGTAACACTCAGCCTTTACCTGTGATGGGAAGTTTGGGCTTCAGTGTGTATAACTGGGCAGGAGTTTGATGAGGGTTCATTCCATATCTCAAGGGCATCTGAGATATTCCTTTACTGTACTGTTTCCTGAAATAATCTGAAATTGCTTCATCATATTGTGCTGTATGAGTGAAAGCCTAAAAACAGGGTAAGTTTTGTGAATTACTAGCAGCATTTCTCAAAGCAGGGGGCAAGACGGTTTTAGGCAACACACAGCAAACTACACTCCTTCACTCCGCACACACACGTGCAGAAAAAAAACTAAAATACTACAGGGCACAGTGAATCATCCCCACTCCAATTATCAATCTTTTGGACATTATACCTCAGTAATATTTAGCCTCTTCATTTATAACAGATAGCAGCTCCAAGCAGAGCCTTGGTAGGTGATACGATCTAGTCAAAGTTGAATACTGTTTGGTTTGCCAAATACTAGACTAGGACTAGATGAAAGTGTCTCCCCACCTTTAAGGCTAACTGGCGCCTGGTCTCCAGGGAAGTGTCTTTACTGCCAGAGCCCTGCATCTCCGTGGACACTGCCACATAGTCCTCTGGCTCACACACCACTGTCACTCGGGCATGGTTTTTGGCTGCTGCTCTCAGTAGGGTGACTCCACCTTTGAAGAACAAAAGATGTGTGTTTTCACATCAATTTAACCTCTTTCAAATAAAGTCATTGTACACATACTTCTACTTTAATTCTTGACTTAAAAAGGGGGCAAAATAACCTTTACTCAAGATGAATCTCTACACAAGAAATAGCTTAGATAATATAGGTGAACTGCCATCATACCAGAACACAATCTGGAAGCAGTAACCATATTCTACTTCCTCAATAGTGAACACCAGACCGAAATCTCATTTAAGTGTAAATAACCCTCTTCTCTGTCAATCTTCAAATATGGTTTTTCTGACTTACCAATATCAATTTGCTCAACAGCTTCTTCAACAGTTACATCCGGAGAAGCCACCGTCTTCACAAAGGGATACAGATTACAAATGACAACTCTAAAACAAAGAGGAATTTAGCTGTCATTAAAAACTCAAACTTATAAAGTTTACACGTAAATAAGTTAGTAGCTATTAACATGACCAAAGATTCTAAAGATCTAAAATATAAACTGCGTGCCTGACATTTTAGAATTCTAAAAATTACTTGAAGTATGAGGATCTCCTGCTGTTGCAAAGCATTAAGTAAACAGAAGTGGCCTTCACCAGCAGGTACTCTCAGCACACATTATTCACTACACAAATCATATCGCAATTCAGCTGCCTGGGTAAAATTTTTGTTTGTCAGGACAAATTTAAAGGAGAAAAATCACCCAATCATCTCAATACCATGCACAAAAAGCATCTGACAAAACTGAACACTCATTATAATAAAAATACTCAACAAATTAAGGAGTACTCAACGTGATAAAAATTTTAAAAATCCACACTAACACCATACTTAAAGGTGAAAGACTACTGCTTTCCCATAAGATCAGGAACAAGACAAGGATGTCCATTCTCACCACTTCTATTCAACACTGTTTTGGAGGTTCCTGTCATATCAATTAACAAAGAAATGAAATAAAAGGCATCATGACTGGAAAGGAAGACATGAAGCTATCTCTATTAACAGGCAACATGATCTTATATATAGAAAATCCTAAGGAATCTATACACAAAAAATTATTAGTACTAATAAATGAGTTCAGGAAAGTTGCAGGATAGAGGATCAACTGAATTATACGTATTAGTAAGGAACATTTTGAAAGTGAAATTAAGAAAAGAATTCTACTTACAGTACCATCAAAAACAAAAAAAATTTACGAATAAATTTAACAAAAGTACATGTACAAAACATTGCTGGAAGAAATTCAAGAAAATCTAAACAAGGGAAACTAGGGAAACACAACCCATGTTTACAGACTAGAAGACTTTATGTTGTTAATTGGTAATATTCCCCAAATTGATATTCAGACTCAATACAATCCGTAAGAAATTCCAACTCCCTTTCTTGAAGCAATAGGCAAGCTGACCCTAATATTCAATGAAATGTAAGGAACCCTGAATACAAAAAGGAATCTTGAAAAGGAACAAAGTCAGAGTACTTACACTTCTCAATTTCCAAATTTACCACAAAGATCAAGTAATGGTGTGGTGTTGGCATAACTAGAGATACAGATCAAGTGTGCCAAGAATAGTCTTTTGAACAACATTTAAAGATTAATCTTTTCAACAGATGACGCTGGGACAACTGAAAAGCTACATACAGAATAAAACTGAACCCCAACCTCACACCTATATAAAAAAGTAACTTAAAAAAATAAAATATCTAAGCATAGGAGGAGCTAAGGCTAAAAAACTTTAAAAGAAAACACAGGCATAAATCTTCATTATCATAGATTATGCAATTGCTTCTTAGTTGTAACACCAAAAGCACAAGAAACAATAGAAAAAATAAATAAATTGGACATCATCAAAACCTAAAACTTTTATTATGGTCAAAGGATACCAGGAAGAAAGTGAAACAATCCACAGAATGGATTAAAGGAACAATCACAATTCAGTAACAACAACAAAAATTCAATTAAAAAGTGGGCAAAGAACCTGAACAGACATTTCTCCAAAGATACATGAGTGCCCAAAAAGTACATGAAAAGATGCTCAACATCATTAGGAAATGCAAATCATAACCACAATGACACATCATAAACATTGGGAAGGCTAAAATTAAAAAAGATAATAAGCTAACAAATGTTGGTGAGAGTACATTCCTGTAGGGAATTTAAATGATGTAGTACTTTGGAAACATCTGGCAGTTCCTCAAAAACTTAGAGTTACCAGGTGACCAAGGAATTCCACTTCTAGGTATAGATAAACCCCAAAGAAATGAAAACGCATGTGCACACAAAAACTTGTACATGTGAATGCTCATAGTTGCTTTATTCATCAGAAACTGGAAAGAATCTACATGCCCACCAACTGATGAACTGATGAATAAAATGGTGTATACATCTATACAATGGATTCTTTTCAAGCAATAAAAAAAATGAAGTACTGATAATGTAACATGGATGAACCCTGAAAACATGCTAAGAAATTAGTCACAAAGGAGCACATATCGTAGAATTCCATTAGTATGCAATGTTCAGGATAGATAAATCCGTAAGACAGAAAACAGATTGATGGTAGGGCTAGGAGGTATTGGAAAAAATGATGAACGAAAGCTCATGGGTATCGGTTTTCTTTTTGGGGGTGGTAGTGATGAGTATGTTCACATAGGAACTATAGTGATGGCCGCACAATTGTAAATATACTAAAAACCCACTGAATTGTATATTTTAAAAAGGGGAGTTGTATCTGAATAAAGCTGTTACAGAAATTAAAACAGTGAATACCTTAATGTGCACAACTAAGTAGCTTGTATGTACTAAAATTTAGATGATAATTTCCTCAAAGAGCAAAGGTTTCTGTTTGTAGTTTAAGTATGCATTTTGGTAATATAAACTTGGCAAAACTAAAATGCTTACATATATACAAGGTCACACAGAAAGTACTCAATATATGTTTACGGTGAGTGATAGAACAGTAAACCTAATACTAACCTTGTTCTTAAAAAGTTGGGGGAGGGGTGCGGGGGAACCAGGTTTGGAATATGCTTTGTCTTTGATCCTTAATGTATTAAAAATTCTACTTTGGGGGGAGAAAAATGCAACTTTGTATTTTTACCTTATAAGATTGAAATCAAGTCTAGCCATGTCAGCATTATCTTCTGGGATATTACGAGCCAAGATTCCTAATTTAACAAAATACAAAAGTATTAGCTTCAAAAAACAAGTTAGAATAAATAAGGTACTTCTTTTTGATACAGTCCCAGCAATCATGTTAAAGCCTCTAATGCTGCCTACTTAGGAGTATGACCTAAAAATTAAGATTAGCAGGTATATTTAAAAACCTTTTGTGTTAGTTCCTAATTCCCCTTTTCCTATGCCATAATATGTAAAAGGAATTTTCTCCTAACTGTTGCCAGTTCCATTAAACTATGGCTCCCATAAGTAAATGTCTTGTGGGATGATTCTTAGCTGTACTGCCTTTTATTGTGCCGAATTTCTCTGTAACTCTCAGGATGCACTATACCTGTTTCTCACTATTTTGGGTTGATGTGCAAATCTGACTCTTAGATAAAATGAACAAAAGTCAAACACTTTGAAAGAGAATTCTTTTGAAAGTCAGTGAAACAGTGATGCTTTATTCTATTTGAATCATGGTATTTTCACACATAAAATCTAAGTATTTTCATTAACCCCAGCAGGAAATATCACCCTGAATTAGTTATCAGGTCAGGACTAATAGCAAACAGAAGAACAATCTGAATCCATCGCATATTAAAGCAAACTAGATTTTAAACAGGTTCAAACATATTATGAACCTTAGCAGCAAATGTGACAAAACCAATATAACCTCACAGGTAATTTTTTTTGAACTTATGACTTGCCTTTTTCCTCATTTATTCTACAATGTAATCAACTAAATTATTCCTGAAAACCGCTGGTTGTTTTAAATAGAACGTACCAACCACTTACCAGCGTGGACTGCAGGATGCAAGGTTTTCACACGCCCCCCTAGCATTTCAGGAAATCCTGTCAGCTCAGAGACATCTCTGAAAGTAGAGAAACAGAATATTGCAACTATATCTGCTGAATTGTCATTTTCCATTTCACACTATTCCAAAGCATCTTCCAACACCAAGTCTACTGTTCTGATTTTCAGAGATTTTTCAGAGCCTGTTATTTTAGAAGTCAAAAACTGAATCACAAGCCAAACTAATGAAATATTATTAAGAAGTAAACTCAACTGAGAAGTTATTTGGCAGTATGTAACAAAAGCATAAAAAACACTCCTATCTCAGAAACAGACTAACAGTAAAAACAAGACTTTAGTTTTATGGTCAAACAAGCATGAAGACAGCAAATCAAATGAGTGGAGAAAAAGAAGATTGTTTAGTAGAGTGGTGTGGCATTGGAGTAACTGATTAACCAGGCACAAAACTAAATTCTCAATGTATCAAAGATTTGAGCAATTCAAAAAGTCATAAAAATACGAAAATTAAAATATGTGCAGAATATGTTCAAAGCATTAAACAGAAGATTAACATATCTATGTAAATGCTGAAAATTTTTATGTAGAAAAAAGCTGGAAAAATAATTGCAAATATGGCAAAGGGTTAAATGAAAGACAGTATTTATTGATTCACATCATCAAACTGACATGAATCCCCCCTCTCTGGCAGAATTTACAAGCAAATTTAAATGACAGGAAAAATTGCCCATATGTGTTAAATAAACAAAAGCAAGAAACAAAAACGTCTACCATTGTAGGAGCTATGAAATAGTATATGTTTAAAAAATCACTGGGAAAAAAACCACATCAACATGTTTAACAGAATTATAACTTATTTTTAGTACCTTCATAGTTTTCCACATTTTTCAAATTTTCTACAACCAACTTATTATAGTAAAAATATAATAAACATTTTAGTAGCAGAAAACTCCACCAATAAGATACAGAATTTCTGGATAGATTCTACCAAGGGGGGGCATTGGCAGATGACTGGTGCTTGACCAGACTTGCACAGTGCTAAGTAAACTGACAAACCTGACTTTCTGATTTCTAATCCAAAATTTCCTTTGCTGGAAATTTAGGATATAAAATCCTACTTCTCCAACTGAGGATCACTGCTGAAAACAGAGAAGGTAGAACTATCCTTAGAACTGACAACAATTTAGTGTAATTGAAAAGCTTGTTATTCCTTTATATGTAAAATAATTTGTATGTAGGACTTAAATCCTCTGTAGGTTAACTGCTGTACACTTACCAATTAAAATCTCACCAGTCTACTTACCTCACATCTTAAGATTAACTTCCTGGGAGAAAATCTTGGCTTGGCCTCTTACAAGCTGTGTTAGCTGTGTGAACTTGGGCAAGTTTGTTAATTTCTTTGTGCCTCAGTTTCCTTATGTATTAAATGGGGATACTATTTAATGGATTAAATGGGGATAGTAACAATATAGCGTCACATGAATTATCTGTGTGTGTGTGTGTGTTTGTGAAGTCTCACACTTCATGTCTGAAATGTTTCTATAATGCAAAGTTTGGTGGGAGAAAAGAAGAGGCTACATAAGAGGGCCTTGTTTAATTTGAAGGCTCCAAATACAATAGGACCCAATATGGTCCAATGAAAAGAACAGCTTAGATTTTGGATTCTCACCCTGCTGCTCTTTAGAAAGAGCCACGCTGCCTTTCACAGTTCTTACAGGGCTCTTACAAGAACCACATCCTAGAGATGAAGCAAAAACACGATGGAAAATATAAAGCACTTATTTATTAAATGAAGTGCGGTATTCTTGCCATATGACCTTGTCAAACTTGGGGAAGTGTGTACTGCCCACATAAAGCAGGATTATAAGATTAAAAAGGTAATAATCTGTCTACATGGATCCAGGTGGCAAGTAGAAAAATTTTCCAAGAGGCAACAAACACAGATTTTTTACTCCTTTTCTAAAATATATTTCAGGGATGGGTATGTCCTTCCTCCAAACTCCCACTGCAATTTAGTATGGCTGTCCTGTGGCCTATTTGATTTCTACCTTTTAGTAGTTGCTCTCTTGAATGGCAGCCTGACTTACCTTTTTCTTTGTCCCATCACTTAAGCAGGTAATACATAGATTGTGAATGAGAAATGAATGATAGATTTGTGCCTTCAAATGGTTCCCAGAGAGGCCAAGGGAAGAGAGGTAGACTTGAAGTTTACAGTTTTACTAAAAGCACCAGTCAAAAGAAATCATGTGAATCTTGCAAATCATAACGTAAGTTTTTCTTGCCTAACAAATAGTCTGCCTAAACTAGTTACAGGAAGTAAGAAGCAGAGCTCTAAATGAGGACTCCCGGGGTTCCAACCCCCAGCTCTACTCCTTACTTAACTCTTAACTTGAGCAAAAGTTACTAAAACTCTGAGCTTCCCTGACCTCTTGCGTGCAGTAGGTAAACAGTGTGCCAATCATGGATTTTACTCACGGGGCCTGGAATACGTTACTTTCGGGTAAGCGTGATCCCTCGGACCGGACTTGTTAACTAAGCTGTGCCTTACCTGACTGCCAGGCCGGCATCCCTGAGAGCTTTTGCAGTCCCTCCAGAAGCGACCAGATTCAAACCAACAGAAGCTAGGTTTCTGGCAAATTCCACAAGGCCGGTTTTATCAGACACACTAAATAAGGCTGAAACAGAAGACATTTTTCCCCATCACTGGTACATTACAGTAGGTTCTTCAAGGTCTCTGCGGGGGTCGGGGATCGGTACTGGGAGGGTAGTCTCGGACCTAAGGCCACGCGCCGGCCCGGGGCTTCCGGGCTCGGACGCCAGCCCGCGCGCAACCGCGGGCCAAGGCCTCGCCGCGCAGCCCGGGCCGCCGCATTGCCGGGGGCCCTGGCGGCGGCGGCGCGGCCCCGTGAGGGCGCGAGGGGCTCACCGAGCTGGCCGGGCGCCATGGCTGCGGGCCGCGCGGGGACGGTAGCGGCGACGCCACGTGCGGAGGGGCGCGGCACCGCCCAGACAGAGACGATCAGGGAGCGGGGCGGGCAGGGCGGTCACCTGACCTGCCACGTGACTCGGGCCTCCAGTCCCTGCTCCGCGACCGCTCGGCTTTAGAGGCGGAATTGGAGCCGCCGGGCCGAGCGGGTGGGCGTGGTGAGGCTTCCGCGGACGCTCCAGGGCTGGGAGCTTGAAGGTATCAGGGCCCCCAAGCTCACCCTCTTGTCGAGACTTGCCCCTGTCCCCAAAAGTGTGGTTGCTCCAGTGCTCCTGGCGCAAGTAAACGCTTGTTGCCCCGGGCAGCCTGTCCCCAGAGGCTGGAAGGCAGATATAGTGTCAAAAGCACTAACAAAGAACAAGAGAAACCAAGAATACTGCATACAGCGGCAAAGGTAGATGATCTTGGCAATAATCTACCATCCTTTTTAATCCGTTTTAACAGATTAAAAAATAAAAGACCTGAAGATTAAAGATTGACCGACTGCATAGTTCACATTACAGAGACAAAATGAAATTGGTTTTGAGTTTTTGGTTCATTATAAATTAGACGGGAATCCGCTTAAAGTCTGTCTTCTTGCAAATCGGTAAATACTATGTAACTCAAACCTGGATGAGAGGAATCCTGATGGTTAAGGGGGAGGAGAGAATATCTTTCTTAATTGGTTAAAAATAGGGAAAGCAAAACTAAGGACGCGGTTTCTTTTTGTATTCCACAAAGTAAGTACATATTGCTGTCTACAGAAATCTTTTTTAAATGGTGCGTGTTAGAATTATACTACAAAATAATACTCTAGTATGCCTAACTTTTATTCTTAGTTTGGGGCTTAAGGTGCAAAATGGAGTCAGTTTCTCATTACTCACATATTACTTGTTTATGTTTTTCTTCTTCCTCGCTGATTCTTCCAGTCTCTTCTTTATACCCCTAAAAGAATACTTACTGGCTAGAATCAAGAGCTGTATTTTTTAACCTCTGAATATGTGAACTCCTTGCTCTGAATATCTCTCACATTTCTAAGAGAAATATATTAAAATGATTACAGTGTCTTCAGTAGGTGTTTGCCAACTTTGAACTTAAATGAGACATGGCTACTAATAAAGGAAATTTCCCTGTCCAGTCACCATTAGGTTTTTATAGGAAATAGCGAAGAAAGGAGAAAATAACGAGATCTAATGGTAAGAGGAAAAATAAACAGTACTTAGACATTTGGTATTTTTCCTGCATGTGAATTCCAAATATTCAATTTAATATTTATTGAACCTTTCCTACTTGAATGGCAGAAATACAGTGTTAGAAGGACAGAAATGAGTGTCAACTAATCACTGTCCTTAAGAAGCTCATGATGAAATGTAGGTATGGAACCATAGGTAAACTAGGAATGTGAATAGAAAGAACATGGGATTAAACTGATTTTCATAGGGGTCCTTTGGCATGCTGTCATATGTATTGAAAAAGAATTAACTGTGGGTTCCTGACCAAGACACAACTATTTTTATTTAAAGATGTTTTCTAAGATTTATTCTGACTAATCCCTCCATAATTTTAAAGTTCAGACTTGATAACTACATGTTAATGGCAAGAGTGAATGAATTTTTTTGTAAGCTTTGTTATCCTGGCCATATCACTCCGTCTTTGAGAACTTTAGGTGCCTTTTTTGTAATACTGTAGAAATTTTTGTTGTGTAGGCATCATCAGACTGTAAGAAGCAAATTAATCTATTTAAAGTACAAACTGCAAAGTGACTGATAAGGGTGATAAAGAAGTGTAATTTCCTTATAGGTTTATTCCCTTGATGTAGCTAGCTGTGTATCTATCTGGGTTTCATCATATGCCCTCCCTAAATATGCTAGTTACAAGCAGGCAAGTCACAACTATTAGAAATGGGAGATTCTGCCACAAAGGAGAGTGTCATCTTCCAAGTGTCTATCACTAGAATTACCGCTTTAGATGGACAGAAAAGAACATGCATGCACTATAATGATTACATTTTCATTTCTTCATATTTTACTTCTCTCTTGTCCCAAAGGAAGCTTGAAGACGTGGAATCATCTGTGTATACAATAGTCCCGACTTACTTGCAGTTTCGCTTTCTGCAGTTTCCGGCAGTCCAGAAGTGGATGATCCTCCTGATGATGAATCGTCAGCAGTTCAGTAGTGGCCCAACACTGTGTCACAGTGCCTACATCATTCACCTCACGACATCACGCAAGCATTTTATCATGGCACAAGAAAGAAAGGGTGAGTACAATACAAGATATTTTAAGAGAGTGAACACATTCACAGAACTTTTATTACAGTAGATTGCTATAATCGTTCTATTTTATTATTGTTGTTAATCCCCTACTGTGCCTAATTTAGAAGTTCAACTTTATCACAGCCATTTATATATAGGAAAAAACACAGTACATACATGGTCCAGTAATATCCATGGCTTCAGGCATCCCCTGGGGGTCCTATAATGTAGCCCACATGCATAAGGGAGGACTACTGTATCTAAAAATACTCAATATATATTTATAACTGATTCCAGTTCCTTCAGTGCACTGTAATCTGTTTTTGTCTTTACACTATTTGTTCCTTGTATAAATTAATCACTTTATCCAAAAAGCCTCCATTCCACTCCCAAATCTGGAATCTCATCCTGGACCCTAAGGATTAGTAAAGCTGTTACATTTTTGTCTAACTTGTTTCAAGGATTTATCCACTCACATGGATGTAGTCTGCCATATGAAGTGATTTCCAGGAGCTTGGATAATTGGATTAATGTTTTAAGTTTTGTCTACCGAATCCTTCTCTAACTAGAGGTTAAACTATTTTATGACCTATTAAGAAATATGAACATTTTCCTGAAAATCTGGAGCTCCTTGGAAATGGAAAGTTGGCAAAAATACAAAGAATGAATTAGAATACCTGGAAGCAGGAAATTCACTTAGAAAGGTTTTACACTAACTCACACAAACTCCTAAGCAAAGACCTGGAAGCATGGAAAAGGAGAGATGTATGTGAGACAAAATCAGGGATAAAAACTAAGAGCACATGGAGATCAACTGCATAAGCAAACTATAAAATGGAAAGAAATAAGAAAGACTCCATAATTTCTAGATTGATTACCTAAGTAGCTGGTGAAGCAAATAACTAACATAAAAAAAAATAGAAAGGACAGTTTTGGCATGGGTCTGTTTTTATTTGAGGTCAGTATGAGAGTTTGGGTAAACCGAGTTGAGTTTCTAAATGTTGGTTTTGAAATATAAATAACTGATAGACATCAAAATGAAAATATGTGAAAGACCTGTACCCTGAAAACTACAAGACACTCATGGGAGAAATTAAAGAAAATACCAATAAATGAAAACACATCCCATGTTCATGGATAGGAAGAATTAATATTGTCAAAATGGCCATCCTGCCTAAAGCAATCTACAGATTCAATGCAATTCCCATCAAAATACCAACAGCATTCTTCAACAAACTAGAGAAAATCCTTCTGAAATTCATATGGAACCACAAAAGACCCCGAATAGCCAAAGCAATCCTGAGAAGGAAGAATAAAGCTGGGGGGATTATGCTCCCCAACTTCAAGCTCTACTACAAAGCCACAGTAATCAAGGCAATTTGCTACTGGCACAAGAACAGACCCATAGACCAATGCAACAGACTAGAGAGCCCTGATATAAACCCAACCATATGTGGTCAATTAATATATGATAAAGGAGCAATGGACATACAGTGGGGAAATGACAGCCTCTTCAACAGCTGGTGTTGGCAAAACTGGACAGCTACATGCAAGAGAATGAAACTGGATTATTGTTTAACCCCATACACAAAAGTAAAGTCGAAATGGAGACCTGAGTGTAAGTCATGAAACCATAAAACTCTTAGAAGACAACATAGACAAAAATCTCCTGAATATAAGCATGAGCAACTTCTACCTGAATGCATCTCCTTGAGAAAGGGAAAGAAAAGCAAAAATGAACTCATGGGACTACATCAAACTAAAAAGTTTCTGTATGGAAAGGACACCATCATCAGAACAAAAAGGTATCGTACAGTATGGGAGAATATATTTGTAAATGATATATCCAACAAGGGGTTAACATCCAAAATATAAAAAGAACTTACACACCTCAACACCCAAAAAGCAAATAACCCGATTAACAAATGGACAGAGGATATGAAGAGACAGTTCTCCAAATAAGAAATTCAGATGGGCAAAAGACACATAAGAAGATGCTCCACATCACTAATCATCAGGGAAATGCAAATTAAAACCACAATGTGTTATCACCTCACACCAGTAAGGTTGGCCAGCATTGAAAAGACTAAGAACAACAAACGCTGGTGAGGATGCGGAGAAAGGGGAACCCTCCTGCACTGCTGGTAGGAATGTAAGCAAGTTCAACCATTGTGGAAAGCAATATGGAGGTTCTTCAAAAAACTAAAAATAGAAATGCCATTTGACCCGGGAATCCCACCCCTTGGAATTTACCCAAAGAATACAACTTCTCCGATTCAAAAAGACATATGCACCCCTATGTTTATTGCGGCATATTTTACAATAGCCAAGATATGGAAGCAACCTAAGTGTCCATCAGTAGATGAATGGATAAAGAAGATGTGGTACATATACACAATGAAATACTCTTTAGGCATAAGAAAGAAACAAATCCTACCATTTGCAACAACATGGTTGGACCTGGAGGACATTATGCTCAGTGAAATAAGCCTGGTGGAGAAGGACAAGTGACAAATGATTTCCCTTATTTGTGAAGTATAACAACGAAGCAAAACTGAAGGAACAAAGTAGCAGCAAACTCAGAGACTCCAAGAAGAAACTAGTGGTTACCAAAGGGGAGGGGTGTGGGAGGGAGGTGGGGAGTGAGGGAGAAGGGAATTGAGGATCATGGGGAAGACAGTGTAGCACAGAGAAGGCAAATAGTGAATCTGTGGCATCTTACTGCACTGATGGACAGTGACTGCATTGGGGCATGGGTGGGGACTTGATAATATGGGTAAATGTAGTAACCACATTGTTTTTTCATTTGAAACCTTTATAAGAGTGTATATCAAAAATACCTTAATA